TCCCTAAACCAATCAGTGCTGCTATTGCGGGTTTAGACTGATGCCTTTTGGTTATCAGCTGTTCATCTTCATGTTAATCTTGAGCTTACTGAAGTAACAAACACAGGTCTGCTCAGAGGACAGCACCTCACCTGAGCACTCACCTGAGGGTGAGTGTCAGCGCTGAAGTTCATGTGATGCTCCCAGCGATGCTCAAAAGTCTTTAAACCTTCACCACGCTTGTGGCTCTCCTATGGACCAGAAAGGAAAATGGCCTGTGGCTTTTATTTATGTCTTCATGCTATTTAATATACTTGCCAGCTTCAACAGATTCTTATTTGCCACACACTGTCCTAGAATATTTAATATATTGAGTTTTTCCTCCCAGTGTTGAGCTTTGCTATCTGTGCAAACTGCTACGGAAAGAAAGCTGTATTTAGACACATTGGAGGAATAAACCTAGAGCAAGAACCTTACATTTGATTTCTTTTTTACTTTTATGGATTTAACTGAGTCCTATAAATCTATTTGAGCATACTGTTTAAAATAATAGTCTCATAAGGTAGTAGGCATCAAATCGTATTTATTCAAGTGTGGGCTGTAACGCAATGGGAATAGAAACCTGAGGTCCTACAGAAAAAACCTTCAATTTTCACCCACTATCTCTGACTCTTCTGCTTATACAATACTATCATAAAAACACTGCACAGTGCCCATGTTCAAACAACCATTTGCACCACTAGAATTATCTCTGAATAAACTGTAAAAGAACGTTTCTACCCGTGGAAGAAGATGGTGAAACGCGCAAGTGCCAGGTCAGAGGATGGGGAGAGCAGTCCACAGCACAGCCAACCCTGCTTGAATGAACCAGGAGACTTTTCCCTTGGAAAATATTTGTGTGTGTCAGTTAGGAAAGTTCTGGTCAAAGAGCAGGGAAAAAGTTTGCTGAAGTTTTTTACATTTACCTGTAAAAATTCTAAACTGAAAAAAATTTTTCCAGGAAATTTAGAAAAAAACCCCAAAATTTTAAAAATATTTCCTGGCAACAACAAGTGTTGCTTTATGACCAGCTCTGTTCACAGAATGTCACATGTTGCTCCTCAGTCTGTGTGGAGGAAGCAGTGTGAGCTCTCAAACCCAGCACCTAAGATTTAGTCTGGTGGTGTCCTAAACGTCATGCTGTTGCCCTCTAGAAAGGGCTTTCCTTGTTATTGAAAGTCTGCAAAACCCGAATATAACATTAAAATACAATTTGGAACAGCTAGTTATTTTCCCGCTCTCTCAGTGAACAAACACGGCTGTAACGGGTGCATTAGAAACACCTCGACGGGCAGCGAGAGCAGAAAGTGGCCGAATGAACATAACCGAGATTGCTGCACCGGCAATTTGCCTGGAGCCTTGCAGCCCGCCGCTTCTCGGGCATCGGAGGCTCCTTCTGCACACAGAGCGGATTGTAATGGAAACTCCTAATAATTATGACACTTCTAGATATCTCTCTAATTACTGTACAGAGGCTGCTGGTATGTGAACAGTGCTACGGTTCATCTTGTGTCTGACTGGTTTTGTCCGCCTGTGGCAAAGCTCCTGAGGACGGGAGACTACAGCTTCTTCTTGAGCTTTTCACAATGCTAGTCGCTCCCTCTTAGCAGCTTACTTACTAACCAAACAGCAGCAATTGGGCTAATTCCATGCTTATTTAGATTTCCAGAATTCCTGTTAATAAACTGTAGGGTCAACACGTCTAGCGCAGAGATGCTCCAACTTTTTATGCCATGTCCTGGAGAGCAGAGACACGAAGCCGACACCTACAGAAACTATTTATAAACACGTCCAACTTTGGCTTTTGTCATCTCTTGGACTGGGACTGTTTGTCCTTCCTTGCACCATCCTCGTTGGCAACGGGGAAAGATGAAACTCCTGATCTGCCAAGGGGATCATCCCACACTCTTGGATTTGTCACCCTCCGCAGTAAGGAACAGCATAAGTCTTCTGAGCATATTTGATGGCACTGGTGGCCAGGTAATGTTTGAAATTAGCTTGGTTAAATTGGACCGTAAGATGCAAAGCAGCCACCCCTGCTCTCCTCCGGCCTCCTGCCAGTCCCCGGCGCCGTTTCTGGGATCGCGCGGCTGGTGCAGTCTCTCTCCATGGAGACCTTGATGTTGCAGCACCCTCTCTGGCGCCGCGCACGGTTGGGCTGGGGCAGCACTCCCCGTCCCTGTCCCCTTCCTGAAGGCGCATTGCCTCCCGTGGGCCGGTGCTGGAGCTTCTCCAGCTGTGGTCGGCCACCATTGCCTCCTGTTTCTGCAACCCATAGCTCCCAAGGAGAACCGCCCTTGAAATGGGTAGTCCCCACACCGAGTCCCTGAACAACTAACCTTTTTGTGCAGCCGTTTTTGAGCAAAATTCGTTTTCTTATTTTTTTAGTTGGTGATCATGGAAAAGGAAAACAAGCACCCGACTTTGCACGTTTTATACAGATCTGGTGATCCTGCTGTAGAGAGGGTTACCCCAAGAGCGGTGAGATGGGAGCGAGGGATCCCACGAAGGGCAGGCTCCTGCAGCCCCCGGGGGCCGCCCGCCAGAGGTGATTTCGGGGCTGCTGGATCCCCCCATCCCCTCAGGTGCCCCCACAGTGAACCGAGAAATGGACAGTTATAACTCTTAACGTATGTGTAGGTAAAAACCCCTCTAAGAGCTAATTAACTGTGAGGATTAATATTTCTGCCTTGAGGTCCACAAATGTCATTATACCATTATAAAATAAACTCTTGAAAAATAATTCACTTTTAAAATAATACATTGCTTTCCTTTTATCCAATAGGTTAAAGTACTTTGTTCCTGGGTACCAGCTTTAAATTTTTCATGTCAGGGTGAAAAGCAATTTTTTAATTATAATTTTAATGCAGCTGACCATATTTCGTAATGATACATTTTGAACCCAACTTGTAAATGTGTCAGAAGAAAATATGACTATTCTATAGAAATATCTGAACCATAAGAACACAGTTGAAATAACATAGTGCTTCTAAAAGTGCCAATTATTTATTTTAACTGTGATATTACATCTGTCATTAGCACCGTGTGAAATATTTGATACGATATTAAAAATGTTTCAAATTCAGCTGTTTCAAGGCTCACAGAATTTGCGTGAACACAAGGAGCTAGATTACGGATCCTCAAAAGCAGGCCTGGTGGAAAGACCCAGAATTAAATCCATTTTAACTAATTTCCTTCTCCTTCCCTCTTCGGGTGCCCACCGAGTCACTCTGCTGTGCCTGAAGCCACCTCACAGGGTTTCGTTCGTTCCCCTGTGGGAAGAGCCGTTTGGGTACTCGGCATGGGAGAGCGAAACAGGTGTCGTTTGGAGAACGGATGACGAGAGAACCAGGACGGAGCACGATGAGGTTTTGATCGGCACAGGCGAAGTGTTATCAGAGTAGCTTCTCCAGCTACTGGAAAAAAGAGGATTTCAGAGGATATTGGAGATTTAGATCTTTCTTTGTTACTTATGCCCTGAAACTTGGACCTACCTCAACTCTAAGCTAAATCTGAAGTGCCTGGTACTTTGCGTTTCCTTAAAGCTTTCGGTGCTAAGCTCCTCCAGGCTCTGAAGAGCATCTCTCTGCCAAGCGGGACTCCAAGGTAGCACTTAGGGAGCCTTCGCCTTAGCGCAGGTGCTCAGGCAGCGCGACTCCCTCCCCAGCCCTGTTTGCGGCTGCCCTCCGGCGTGCCAGGCTGATTCCTCAGTATGCTTAACAAACCAGCTGCTCGTCCTGCGTGTCTCGCCCAGGAGGACTCGGTGAAGATGTATGTTGGCATTACTGCAGCACCCCACAGCTCCTCTCCTCGTGGGCTCGCGCAGCCCCGAAGAGGCACGTGCTTCCCAGGAATTTCCCAGCCTGGGATTCCAAAGTGAAGAGAGAAGATTGCTACTCCCAAACCAGATAGCTAGCCCTTGTGCCTCTGGGTACACCTCTGTGTTGGGAGCGTGAACCCCAGAGCTGATGCTGGAGGAGGAGAGCTGATGAGGAGCCTGCTGTGCTAATGAAAGCAGCAACGGCCTCCAGAAACACTGGGCATTTCTCCCTCTCAGACAAACATCTCTTTCCTCATTTACGATAGACCAAAGGTCAAAGATAGCTGCTCCACCACTTCCACAGCCCTGCTGAAATTTTATGCCCTGGAATTGCTGTCAAGTTTAATGTTCTCATCTTATATAATGAAAAGGCAATCGTTCCAGCTCTGCAGCTTGAATGAATTCACACTGAAAAAGATTGAAATTTTGGGGTGAAATTTCACAAACTGCTCAGATCTACAGCCAGTATGTTACGTTGGATTAACAGCAGAGGTAAGCAGTATTTACTTGGAAAACTCCGAGCACCACACATACCAGGAGAATTCCTTTGGAACCTAATATCAATGCATCCGAAAGAGGAACCCATCAGAATACTTACCCTTTGGTACCGCTTCATCGACCCTTCCTTACAGCCTCTTGTTAGCTTTCCCCTTTACAGACTTTTGCTATAGATCCTTGGCTGTAAGTCCATGGTTCTCTGACATGTTATTGCTTTGCAGAAAGGAAGATCTTCTTGTTTTAAAGTTTTAAAATACAAAACCCCAAAATGATTGCCTCTTCAGGCTAGTAACGTTTTCACATAAGCAAGGTCCAGGCAACAAAACTCCCACTGACTTTGATGGGTGCAAAAGCAAACCATGGAGGAACTCCAAGGATAAAACTTTACTGGGCCTTAAAAGCAGCTGGCAGATGTTCACAGCACCTTCGACTCTGGAAATGTCGGTGGTTTACCTCAACGCTGGGCAGATACCCCTTAAAGCAATGAGTCGAAACTTGGGGAGAGCGGGAGGCCTCTCTGAAGGGCCTAAGAACAGTTTTCAGTGTTTGCACAGCATGATTTGAAGTCAAAGGAGGGCTGGTGAGTTACTCCAGGGATTTTTCACACAGTTCATTTTATAAGTGCTATGAAATGATCCCAGAGGTGCCTTGCTTTTCACCCCCGTAAAGGAAACGGCACCCCCAGGTCTAACGAGGCTGGTGCTTCCTGACGTTTCCCCCCCGGCAGGCAGACGCAGGAGCTCAGCGCGAGGCATAAGGGCTGGCGGCGACAGCGGCGCGGAGGCAGCGAGCAGAAACGCCCAGCCCCAGAATTACCTGCGGTCTCTGAGGCCCCTCTGAATTTACTTGAGTGTCTGCAGCAGTACCCAGGGTCACAGGTTCCCCGACTCGGCT